AAGGGTTTACTGTTGCCATATTTGGGTAGGAGATGCCTAGACCTCACTCTTCAGCCTTCATAGAGTTTAAAAGCATCTCCGAGCCCTTGTGGGTGACAAATTATTCCTAACCCTCCAACCTCCCTCACATGTTGGATGTAACAAGCTGCTCACTGCCCTATCACTACTTCAACGGAAAGTGCTTGTATGAACTACATTCCTTCACAGCAAGGACACACCATGCCACTTACATTGTAGCAAACCACTCACATTCCCTCTGTATTCCATCAGTGAGAAGTGGAACTGACTCCCAAGATGATGTGATGTAATGGAATAACCTGTCACCCCTATGAGTGACTACACTATAGGTAGTAACTACCTATAAGTATCTGTAAGTCAATGGACCACAGAGACTAGCTGGGATCTGTTGAGTATGACTCAGACTTATGCAAGAACTGCCGACCTTCCAATGGTAGCATTCACTACTAGATTGACTTGCAACGACCTTGTACATAACTGTTACCTTTATTCTTATTGTACTGGTTTTTAAAATAAACCTTTACTTTTATCCACTTTGTTTTTCGAGTATATATTCCTATTAGCACGGAATATAACAAGGTGTTTCCCAGATCATTCCAATCTTAACCTGTTCTAGTCTAGGGTTAACCATTATCTTTCCCTCCTATCCACACAAATTGCCTCTTAATGTAACCCTCTACATCAAGTGGCTCCTGGGCCATGTACTGGGTGAACCTTACTGTAAAAAAAAATTTTCAACTTTCTCACTTTCCATTTTTTTAACAAAATTTAGCATTGATGATGATAGTAAAAGATAGCAGCCATGATCGCTCACATCCTGAAGTAATTGTATTAATTTTTGCACATTGTTAATGTTTTCTCTTTAGTACATATTTAATGATATAAAAAATCTGTAATTAAAATATTTAAAATTCAAAATAATTACCAATGTAAGAATTAGTTGTATTATCAGCAGAGAAAAACAGTAAAAGTAAATGTTTATTTTTTTTTTTTTTGATTATTTGATTTTCAATAGAAAAAGTCACTTCTATATACAATAATACTCTGATGAATATTAACTAAATTATCCATCATTCATGCCTATTAATCAAATATTAATCACTACCTAGCACATTATTCTTATATTTTTTATTTTATTTATTTTTTAAAAAGTCCTGAAACCTTATTGTCATTCCAACCTTGGTTGGTCTGGTCACAAACAATTATTCAAGTTATCCAAAAGTGAATTAAATTAAAAATTGTTCATGGAGGAAATTGTGAAAAATAAGATTAAAATAACTGAACATTTTGTTTCAAAACATCAGCTTTACCAAGAAGCCCTAAAAAAAAAAAAAAAAAAAAAAAAAAAATCCCAGTTATTTGATCAGATTCTGGAAAATTGAGCTGAAAACTTTTCAGCACCCCTTTTATATATAAAGTTTATTACTTTACACAGAACTCAAGATCAAACTTTTTAACTTTACAGGCTCATTAAAATTTGTTTGAAATTATTAAGATTAATTTTGTTAGAAAAACTGAACAGATCTGCATGTCAATGAATTAGTCTTTTTTCTTATTTGCAGCATTCATGCACTAGTGAATCACAGCACAAAAAATCTTTTAAAAAATTAGGTGAAATTAAAATGTACATTTTTAGATAAAGAGAAACCAAAAGAATTTTTAAGAAATCAATTAAAATCAAAACAAAAAAATAAAAAACATTTATAAAAATGGAAAAAAATCAGGAGTAAACAGAACTTATATTTAATCTTTTCTAATGAATATCAGCATGAAATTATAGAATTCAATAAATTGAATCAATTCATTTATCGAGAAGAAATTTGTTATAAATAAAGCATAATTATTTTCATTTAAAAATATGACACACAATTTTTGATCAAGCAGCATAATTCTGTTGCAAAATCATTAACATTAATCAAAAATAAATAACATTACATAAAACACAAACCGAAAATATGATAAATATTTTCTCCATTTGAAAAAGTCCTTTCATAAATGTTTTAAAGCTTTTTCATATACAATACAATCATTAAAAATGTTTTATTTTAATATCTAAAGCATTTCAACAAATAAAAAAAAAACTTTAAATAAATAAAATTTGTATTTAATTAAGCAAATACTTAAAAAAAATTTAAAGTACTAAAAAAGAAAATTTAAACAGTTATTAAAAATTATGTCAAAGAATCAAAAGTTATTTCTATTAATCCAAATATACTATTATTTTTCTATTTTAATATCAATGTTTCAAAGGGAAAATGTTAAGTGATTTTGATATATGAACTGATTCATTCAACAAATAAACAAAATAACTTCAAATTTATACAATTCAAAGCATAAAACAACTTTACTAACATTTAAGACTTAGATTACTGATTTTATACAACTTTTCAATCATAAAAAAGTAAAGCCATTAATGGAAAAACTGGGTAGAAAATTCATAATATGCAAAAGATCTTGTCATTTAGAAAATGACTTTGTAAATAGAATCTCAAAGTTGGATTTTATAAAAGCAAAAGAAAAAAAATCATAAAATTAATACCAACAGTATGGTATTAATTTTATGATTTTATATCTCATTGAACCCAGTAGGTTTTAATAAATTATGCAAATTTGGAAATATATGATTACTTGAATGGAACATATAAAATTTGAATATTAAAATTATGAAAATAACTTTACACTAGATATTTTATAGAGGGGACTTGAACTACATGGAACTTGATTGTCAACGTATTTCACTTAAATAAGAGAGCATATATCAAATATGATGGTATATAAGGCACCCCCTCTACCCCCATAACTGTTTATATTTAATATTACATTATTATGGAGGCAGCAGTGGTATAAGTACTGGTAGTTTCTGGCATTTAGACAAAAATTACTAAAGAGTTGAATTGGTAGCAACACTAGCTTATTAATCATGTGCCTTTAGAAATTAAAATATAATAACGCAAGACTCTGCAAGGCCAACCATGGCCATGGTAGGGCATGTCTGTCTCACTTTAACATGTAAAAGGGGGATTATATTAGTTCTCAAAGTTGTAATGTTGAGCCCTGACTACAAATTGGGGATTGGGATTGTAGGTGGCTGGTTAGAAGAAATGATAAAATATAAGAAGCATGGATTGGAAAAAGTTTATATTTTGATCAATATTGAATTGCAATGTAAGGTCATCTCATTAAGAACACAGAAGAAAAATGTATATACTCATTAAGATTACAATGCAAAGTAATCTTGATTTTGACCAACAAGCACAAAAAATACATTATTTACATTCAGACTATTGTCCTTGATGTTACCATCAAAAAATTTCAGCCATTGTGCCAAGCCTTCTTCAGGTTTTTGTTGATCCAGGTAACCTTCAGGTAATATTGAACTGAATACTTTATTTAATCTACAGGGGTAGCTTGTTCTCATTCCACTATCCATGTCTGAAGGTTTACTTGGATTGAAAAAAACCTGAAGAATGCTTGTGAGCACAACAGTTGAAACACTGTGACAATAACAACAAAGATGAGGACATTAGTTCAAATGTAAATAATTTAAATAGTGATAACTCTTCATCCCAGAAATTTAGAAGACACATGGAATTGTCAAGGTTGGGACTCTTTGAGAATATTAACCTGCCTATATATTTGCATTTAGTTTGTATTGTTAATATCTACAAGTTTCTTTAAACATGAATAAAAAAGCTCTATATTCTTTGTCTGAATAATAGGCAAAATAACAGGTAAACAATTATCTGATTTCTTGAGACAAGATTTTCTATGTACCATCTCTTTTCAGGATTGATCAATCATGGCTCTTCACAAGTTCCTGTTCATTGTAGCTCTTGGTAAGGTTTTCTTCTTATATCTCTTTGAATCCTCTTTTGGAATTCAAACCCTTAGAAAAATATGAATTCACTATCCTCCCAGATATGGATTGAAAAGCAGGACAGACTGGGTCCTATAGACTTGGTTGGCAATCACAGAAAGAAATGACAGTCCATTGCAAGAAACTCATTCGAAAAGAGACATGATCATCCAAGCGTAGATCATGTATGGCACTTAACTGACTGACAGTACAGGTACATATCATATAATGAATATCAACATGAAAAGTGGAATTGGCAAGATCAGATCAAATACCAGTCCAAAGGCACAGATCTAAATTGTATAAAATTAGGAGTAGTTGGCTTATAGTCTAGGAGAAAAGAACTTTGAATTTCAAACTCGGAAAAACACTCTACTATCTTTCCCAATAATGCATGGTAATTCACAGATAAATTAAAGGAACCCACGGAGAGTCATCATTGTCTATGTCCTGAAGTTGCATGGCATTAAAGAAATTCTGGTAATGTATAACAGGGTAGACAAAGTTATTACCCATAAGGAAATCTACAGTTCTTAATTTTTTCAAAATCAAATAATAAACAAAACGTCAGTGAGCAGCAGAGGTATATCTGATCAGTAGGATCACAGAGTGACAACTGCCTATTGTGGAGTGAGCCAAAGCCATATTTAATAACTTCTACTGCACAGCAAAAGAAAATTTCTAGACAGTTCTTGTCACATCATGTTTCATATAAAACAAGCTTTGGTGTGCAGATGTTATCTATTTTTATTTTTTGAGTTTTTTAATTTTCAGAATTTCATTTAAGAGACTATTTACCTGTAATAAAGTTCCATATTGTCATGAGTTTATTATTGTAAGTACTAATTTTGTACATTTCAAAATGTTCAACATACCAGAGTAAGAACGAAAAGAGCCTTGTAATTCAAATGCAAGTGTTACCATGTATATTAAGCCAAATATTCAAAATGTTATCCATGAAGTTAATAAACTTTATCTTAGTAAAATTTGTTTGGATTTACAATTGAAAACATTGTGAAAGTGTTAAATGTTTAAAATAGGTTAACAATATAAGTTTGACATTAAAGTCTATAAATCAATTAGAAGAGAATTAAAATTATTCAGTGTTACATGGAAAATCACTTACGTTCGGATGACATCTTGTTTGATGGTAAGTCGAAGTTCATTATCTTGGAAAAATCGATTCCAAGGACTCTGAAAAAGAGAAACATTTGAAACATTTTGCATATACAACAGAAATATTTTTAAAAATCTTTTTAAAAGAAAAAGAAAAAAAAGAACCTTCAATAGTCAAGATTTATTATATTTAAAATAAAATTTATAAAATGGATACTACAAAAGTGGTTTATATATTTTTGACTACTGGACTTCTGCATGTAGACCTAGTCCAGGAAAAAAGAAATTAAACTGAGAATTATTTATGAATTGATTTTGAAATTTCTGAAAAAGGCTCTCCACAACATTCCCTATCATTTGTAGCTCTTAGTAAGAGCCGTCTTTATTTCCTTTCCATTCTGCCATCCAGTTATACAAGTTAACTAGGAAGGTTACTTGCCGTTTCCCTCTTGCTTTCAATATGTTCTGTGAGTATCAAATTCTCCAAGACCTCTTTTCTCATTATGTGTCCCAGGAAGTTTGACTGTCTTTTTCAGATTCTAAATATAAGCATTCTTTTTGTTTTTATTTATTTTCAGGTATTTAGTAAGCTTTAATGTGGTACAAGGTCACAAGTATGAGGCACTTTACATCCCTGACTATATGAGTAAAAATTCTTAATATTATGCCAAATAATTGTCAGTGGTTAAAAATAAAATAAGAAACACTAGGCTGTTCTGTTTCTTCAGGAATTAAGAACCTAATAAATAGCAAACAAGATTCAAGTTCTTAAGAAGGATGAAACACTTATCGTTATTTGCGTTACTGCTACAAATTCGCACATGCAATCACACAAAGAAAAACAGAAATTAGTGGCAGAGGTAGATAAGTGAAGTACTATACTTCTTACTTCAAGAGATTTATTAAAAAGAAAAAAGTTAGGTAAGATGGTAATATCTCAAACATTTATTTCTAATTTTATTACTTTTATGCCAAAAATAATTATTTTACCAACATAGCAATTAATTTCTCAGGATAAAGACTAAAGATTCAGTTTTCACCTGTGTGTGTGTGTGTGTGTGTGAGTGAGTGAGTGAGATTAAGTGCTGAAAAGTTCTCAGACCGACTTATTTCACAAAACCTAACCACATGATCAAGCAGAGTTTTGTTTTTTACCTTCTCTTGGTTGAAACAAGAACTTTTCACCACCCACCTCATATAGATTTTTTTAATACTTTCTAAGGGAAATATACACCCTGTAATGAATATTTTTCTAAGATTATTCTTTGTTTTATTTATAATTGTAATATTTTCTTTACAACACAATCTTGTAAATTTCTGTTGTTTTACCAGGTTTCTAAACATTCCAAAAATGAAATGAAATATAAAAGTAAAATGGACTTGGTGACAGAGCCTAAAAATACTTAGTTCCCTAAATTTTAAATACATACAAGATTAAATGGCTGAGATAGTTGAGCATTTTTCCCCTGATGTGAACAGTCAGTGTTCAAGCAAAAGGTCAGGATTAGAAATAATGATATTCAAGATAAACAATTAGGAGTATTGCTGCAACACAAAGTCTTTTTAGTGGTTATTTCCCTTTATTTGACCTTAGACTACATTAAAATGGAATAAATATCTAAAATCTACAGAGAATTATAATTAAACTGCAAGTCTCATAAGCTTCTGCTAACATTTTCATTTCCCAGTTGATGATTTTGTCCATTGAAAGTCTACATTGGGTACTGTTGATTTTAAACATCTGTGGATTCCCCCCACATAGTTTTGCCAAGAAGTCATTAGGTGGCGCTATCAAGCACCTATAAAAATGAGACACTTTTTGTCTTCACTCTTCTCCACCCAGTATCAGAAAAGCTCTTGCATGCGATGCATGTAACAAACTTCACAAGATTTGGCACTTGAATCTTCCATCCTCCTTAAAAGACAAATCTTTTCGAACACTGATTGAACCAGTCCTACTGTATGGATCAGAAGCTTGGACATTATCTCTCAAAAGCAAAAACAACTACAGTTTGCTGGCCACTGCCACTGAGCAGACAGGGAAGTCATCTCATCCTTACTCCTATGGCATCATTCTGGAAGTGTCTTCTCATGAAAATTGACTTTCCTCAGACATGATAGCTCAAGACTTGGGGATGGACATTGGGGATCTGGAGACAGCAATACAGGACCGAACAGTGTGGAAAGGGATTGTCAATGGAATTCCAACCAACCATAGGGAGGTCAAAGAAGGATGATGTTATAGTAACAACATCCACCAAGCATGGAGAGATTTTTCCCCTTAGTAACTGAACTTTTCCGATAAAAATATTGAAATTTATTTGGAATGATATTTGAGGTCAATAAAGCTCACAAAAGCAAGAAAAAGTACTTTGTAGTGAGTTTATGGCACAACAGAAGTAGAAGACACAGGCGATTGGCTGTAGTGGATATACATAGTATCAGAGGTTGACTGGCACTTTTACAAAAGACAAGGTTTTAAAAAAGAAAATGTCTTTTCTATTTTCTTTTGCCTTTGCATAGAGTCAGAGACTCTACCTGAGAAGCACTCGCCAGCCAGTCAGTAATTAGGACATTTCTTTTGTTAAAAATAGACATTTAATTTTGGACTCTTAACAAAAAGGCAGAATCAGACTTAATTTTATTCTATTTCTTTAAAATAAATAATTCATAAAATTTCAATCTGTCATGTATTTGTTTTTGTTGCATCATTTTGTTGAAAAAATTTTTGACGGTACAGATACTTCTTTGGTAGGTATAATACATACTAGTTCCCCTTGTTCTTTTTTGAATTTGAAGTCATGTATCAGTAAAAAATGCATCCAAAATGCAATTTATTTTAACTATAACGATTTAATCTTTGTATAAAAAAAAAAGAGAAAGAAAAAAATTGAAAACATATTTAGATTTATGTACGATGATACTTGAGTCCAATAAGCTAATATAAGCACAAAAGAAAGGACTTTGATTTCTTGGAATATTTCCTCTTATGCATTATTTCATATTGGGTAGGAATAATTCTTAACTTGTAACATTTTGGTTTCATAACTTCCTTTTGTTTCTATAGATATTCTATACTGTAGTCCATAAATACATATGCATATATAGTATCATGTGGATACATGAAATACTCCTGGTGGTTATATATACTTCCACTTAAGATGCTCAAGTTTCCATATGCCCATCCATCATTTATAATTATAATTCCCAAAGTAACAGATTGCAAAATAATTGGTTCCAATGTATCAGCAGATGTAGTGAGAATTGAGAGCAGTAAACATTTTTTTTGTACCTTTCTCCATTCTACTAAATACCCACTGAGACTGACCAAATCTTAGAACATGAGAGGAGGTAAAGAAATTTAAGGGAGTTAATTAGTGTTGCATATGCCGGAATTTCTCAAATGTTAAAAATCTGCAAAACAGCCAAAATGTTCTGGTAAAATTCAGTCATAAAAAATGTCCTTAAACAGAAGACATTTTTATTTTCTGAGATGAAGTTAATGATTATTCCATATTATTTTTTTAACCATTATTTTCATCTAGGTTATTTTTTTTAATTCTTGTCTAATATATTGTTCAGCCTTTCAACTATGCAGATAAAAAACGGTTAAAATTTAGGCTTAAAAAGCATACCAGCCAGAATGTTGTTAGATGAAGAAAAATACTTTATCTTAGAAATTTCACACAGTATTATAGGTATGTGATACTCTGGATACCCACAGGGGATGGGGATAAAAGTGTTTCTGTTTGATGAACTAGCAGATAATTCATTTTGAAGCATGGTTTTCTAAGCAGAATCCACTTTGACCCAAGGGTAACATATAAGTAAAGAAGTGAATATGAGATTTTTGAAACAGTCCTGCATGGGATTGGGGAGAGTGCTGGTCAGGCTTTGGAGACAGATGTGTCTGTGTTGCAGTTTCTCCAATATTGTATTTGCCATATAATATTTTTGTGCTTAGAAATTTGCAACTTCTCTGATATTTTTATATATATATATATATTTATATATATATATATATATATATATATATATATATATATAAGCATCAATTGAATAATATAGAATCTCAGAGGTTGATTTATTAAATGAGCAGATACTGGATGGCCATGAAAGTAAATTGACTGTTGAATAGAGATAAGTAAAAATATTATGGGGTAGAGGGGTAAAAGAGATGACTATTTAACATCTTGAAGAACAAATAGGGAAAAAAAATAACATGCAAATTTTCACTTACTTCTTCATCTTGTGATAATGGATTATTCAGTGAAAGGTCATGGGCTGAATCAACAGCTTTTCGAGGGTTTATGATTAACTGAAAAGAAAAGAAAAAATAAAAGACTTAGAACAAACAAGAAAAGTTGTTAACAGTGATATAAAATTGTGAGTATATATATATATATATATATATATATATATATATATATATATATATATACACACACACAAAAGGAGGGGCTGAAAAATTCTCTGCCTGACTCAATTCTCAAAACCTGACCAAATGACAGATTTAAAGGATTTTTAGTTAGGCCCAGAGCTTTTCATCAACCACTCATTATTTAATACCTTGTTCAGTTTTAATTGTTGATGCTATTCCCCTCCAGATTTCTGTGCTACACTTTCAATCTTCTGTTACTATACAAACATTAAATTACTGTGCCTGCTTGATCTTAACATCCCCAATATTTAACTCACATCTGTGCAGCCCCTTTTGCTGACAACCATGCATTCCATTTCTTATAATTAATAAGTATGACACCCATTTATTTTAGAAGTGGAATCTTACAAATTAGTAAAAGCTAAGTCCAGCAGGAATTCAAAACTTAATTTTAGAATAAAATTTGTAAATATTTGCAATCTGTACAAATAAAATTAGCAGTAGAACAATTTCTATTTATAAACTGAAGAGAATTAATCATTGGAAAGAAGGTTTTTTTTTTTATGTGACACTTTATGTTTCAGGGTTATCATAAAAGGATTTTGAGTAGCACTAACAAGTTTCAAAGTTTGCAGACCTCTAGCCACTTATAAGATTGGTGCAACATCATCATTCTGCTAGATTAAACAGCACTTTGTAAATGTCTAAAAAGACAAACCTCTCACTCCAAAATTTTCTACACCAACAGCAGAAAGGTTGAGCAAATTATTCTTCATAAAATTACTATAGAAGTATTAAATCTGCTTTGATAATTGTACTAGTGAGTACTATGAACAAAGAATTCCATTGAAGTTGCATAACCCAGATATTTTTATTGACCTTCATTAAAGGTCAAGAGGTTAGTATAATTAATTTCTGCTAAATATAATAAACTGCTAATAAAGTATAAAGAGAAAAGATACATCGTTAGCAGATGCAACCCTTAGCTTTGATTGACATTCTGCCCACATAAATTAATACTAAACAAGGCACAAATGACACCTTTAAGCCATTGTACTTTAAGATGTTTTAAAAAAGTACAATTTATTTTTTCAGAGTTTGAGTGATATTAGTAAATTCTTTATTTTATACCTTTCAGCACACTCATCTTGGTTGTAGATTCATAACATTTTGACTGTTATACCCTTTGGATTTTTTCTGGTCTGTCAAAATTGGTAACCATAGAATTTTGAACTGAACTCTTCATTTAATCCATGGGGATAGATTGTTCTCATTCAGCTTTCCATGCATAGGGGAGATAATTCATATCAGTTAATTCTTTCATACTCTGACTTTCTTCCAATTCTATCAATTGTATTAAAACATTAAACTGTTTAAAAAAAAAAAGAAAAACGAAAAAAGAGAATAAGAGAAAAAAGAAAGGAAAAAGGAAAGAAAAGAAAAAAGAAAAGGAAAAAAGAGAGAAAAGAGAAAAATGTGAGAAGAGAAAAAGAGAAAAATGAGAAAAATGAGAAAAAAGAAAAAAAAAGAGAAGAGAAAAAAAGAGAGAAAAAAAAAATGAGAAAAAAAAAGAGAAAAAAAAAAAAAAAGAGAAAAAAGAGAGAAAAAAAAAGAAAAAGAAAGAGAGAAAAAAAAAGAGAAAAAAAAAAAAAAAAAGAGAAAAAAAAGAGAGAAAAAGAAAGAGAGAAAAAAAGAAAGAAAGAGAAAAAGAAAAAGAAAGAGAAAAAGAAAAGAGAAAAAGAAAGAAGAAAAAGAAAAAGAAAAAGAAGAGAAAAAGAAAGAGAAAAGAGAAAAAGAAAAGAGAGAAAAAAGAAAGAGAAAAAAGAAAAGAGAGAAAAAAGAAAAGAGAAAAAAAGAAAAAGAGAGAAAAAAGAAAGAGAGAAAAAAGAGAGAAAAAGAAAAAAAGAGAAAAAAGAAAGAGAGAGAAAAAGAAAAAAAGAGAAAAAAAAAAAAAGAAAGAGAGAAAAAGAAAGAGAGAAAAAAGAAAGAGAGAAAAAAAAGAGAAAAAGAAAGAGAAAAAGAAAGAGAGAAAAAGAAAAAGAAAAAAAAGAGAGAAAAAGAAAGAGAGAAAAAGAGAGAGAAAAAGAAAGAGAGAAAAAGAAAAAGAAAGAGAGAAAAAAGAAAAAAAAGAAAGAGAGAAAAAGAAAAAAAAGAAAGAGAGAAAAAAAGAAAAAGAAAGAGAAAAAAGAAAGAGAGAAAAAAAGAAAGAGAGAAAAAGAAAGAGAGAAAAGAGAAAAAGAAAGAGAGAAAAGAGGAGAAAAAAAAGAAAGGAAAAAAGAGAAAAGAGAAAAGAGGAGAAAAAGAGGAAAGAAAAAAAGAGGAAAGAAAAAAGGAAAAAAGCTTTTTCCCACAAACTGCTGCCTTATGGAATCAACCGCCAAGAGGATGCTTTCCCCGATCACTACAATCTTAACCTGTTAATTTTATCTTCCCTACATATCTGCATCAGCTATACCTCTTACTCTGTAACTATCTACCCCAAGTGGACCCCAGTATATATAAATGGAGAGGAAAATAAAAACATCCACAAGAACTGACAATTTTGGCCTGTATATGGTGTGTGTATGCAAGAGGGTGCTAGAAATTCTGGTAAAAATTTAATTCTTTAACCATCTTGTGATGTAGCAATACTCAGTAACTGTCACATAGATATAAATATGCATTTTTTTCACAATTAGAGAAATTTGAAAAAAATTCCAACAGATCTTGACAAAAGAATAATGTTATTAGTCCTGACAGCTTGTTTTCCGTCATTTTTCCACTGCCATAACATCACTTCCCTGACTAGCTTTCCTCTTTGGAAGCTTGGCTTCACAAATTTAAGTGCAATTAGAAGTTACGTCTCATAATTTCAGTGTAGAAATTGCTAGTTGTTACTGTCATATGCCCTACTCGACGAATAATTTATAATGCAATCATACGCCGACCAGGAGATATATACATTATCACATCTATGGAGAGATACAGGCTATCTCTCCTAGACCATGACAAATGGACAATTAGTAAACAAAAATATTTTAAAGAATACTGTTCAATTGGGATAGTCAAACAGTAATCTTTTTCCAGGTTTGCTTCGGTTTCAACACAAATACTGATCCACAATTCAAGGATGAACAATAAGGCGTAATAAATTTTGGTATAAGAATTTATATATATATATATATATATATATATACACAAGATATTAAAATAAAAGAAAAATATAAGCATGAGTAAAGCATCCGACGACCAGAACCTCAAAACTTATGTTGGGATACCAAAATATGCCCAAATCCAAGTGGATTCGACTGAACCCGAACAGATAAAAAAAATAAGTATGAATAACTACGAATGCAGAAATCAACACATAACCAAAAGAGATGGGATAGGATTTACATATTTCTATTTTGACATGTGGAAAGGTGTTTGTGAGAGCATAAAATTTATGGATACATGTGTATCTTTCTAACACGGGTCCAAAATATATAGTTACTTATCTTTATATTCAGTTCTCTCTCTCACTGATTGTCCTTTCTTTTCTCTCTCACGTTTCCTCTTTTTTTTCTTTCTTTTTCTTTACACAAATCCAATTTCACACACGGTCTGGTTGCAACAGAGATATACACTTTCTTCCATTCTCTGGTTTTCTCTTTTCTTTCTTTCAAACACTTTCTTTCAAGTTGCTTATGTTGAATTGGACAAGTTCCATCATTACCAAAATGAGTCTTATCTTTCCGTTCATAAGTTATCAGCGCTTCGATTTTCGAGTCTTGCTCCTTCAAAGACAAGACAGCAACTGACTTCCAAGTAATTTTCTAATTCCCACGTGTCCTGCATTTTGGCGCAAATTCCAGTTCCTGCTGCTTCATGACCTTACGTCAGTCCCCTGTCTAGATTCTGTCTAGACGTCTATTGCTACGGATAATTGGGTCAGTCAACCTCTTGACTTGCTTCCCCAAAATGTCTCGAGATTCCCATGTGACCTCTTCTGTTGTCAAGCAGAGATTAACCTTAATATATGCATGTTTAGGCTATCTGCATTCGTAACATTACCATAAATTCTATGCTAAAAGTTTCTTCTTTCACACCTCTTGCTTGTGGATCTCTCTTTTAGCTACCTGCTCTCCTGTCAACTTTGATCTTCAAAAATTTGAATGCAATATCAATCATCATTTTCATTCAATCCTGTTCTTTAATTGTCCTATGTTTTGTTCACTCTCATTAACCTCTTACATCTTAGTAGTTTTATCACCTTGCTTGGGGTGAAATGATGAAAAAAAAAAAAAAAAAAGAAGGCCTTTGAGAAGTTGAATAATCATTTCAGAGAATTGCTGCATTTTTTAGATGTGACCTTCTTATGATACTTTGATATTGGCAACAGTGGTCAAATGAAAAGTCCTACAAATTGAGGCCAGGTTCTGGATAGCTATATAGTAGACATGTTCACCAGGATAGATGCCTTGTAAGCACAGAAACAGTAGACTACATAGAATCCACAAATGCAACTCCAAGAATGTTAACATGGATTGTTGGGAATCATTTATTTGTAGGTGTATAGAGAGACTTCTTACACACATGTGCACATCTCTCCTTTGGTGTTATGAGAGTATCACCTGGGGATAAAATGGCACACTGTGATGAATGCTGACTCTACTTTCATACATGTTAACTAAGTTAGGTTAATGTTTCTCTCTTATGGTTTCTTATTTATAATAATTGGTTTCTTTGTTTTTTACTTTTAATTCTCATTAGCTAAGACTAATTCATCTTAGCTCCACAAGTCTCTCAAAAAGGTAATTGCATGCACATAACTGGACTCAGCCAAATTACACTTGTATCCTTAATTTCAGGAGGCATAGTGAAGTAATGGATAGCAGAAGAGTCATGGTGGAGTAATGGATACTGGCTTGAATTGAGAAATTGGAAAGCCAAGTTCGAATTCCATCAAATCCATTACATTCACTTATGTGCAATAACCTTGAGAAAGGTATAAATCCTCTTCTTCTCTCCAAGCTATGGGTAAATAGCAGGACCAGGTTCTACAGCCTTAGATGGCAACTGGTCTACCACAGAAAGAAATGGCAACCTACGGCGGGAAAGAATCTGCCTCATCAGTCATGTATTGAAAGATACGTGATTGCCTAGTGTGTATCACGCATGGCACATAACTGACTGATCCTTAATTTTGAGTGAACAGAATCGTATGCAGTATGTTGCAATTTTATTTTGCATCAATTTCATTTTTGTCTAGTATTTTTTTTAGTCATTTCACTCCAAGCAAGCCAATAATCTAAGACACACAGAGTCACTGAGAGTGAGAGAAAATGAGAAGACATTACTGAGAAGACAGGACAATAAAAGATCAGGATTCAAAAGGACAGAAGATTGTGATCGATGTTGCATTTATATTTTTGAAGATTATATGAGGCAGGGAAACAAGAAACTGGAAGAGAGTTTCACAGGTGAGAAGTGCAAGAAAAGAATCTATCAGAATAGAACAAATAATTACATCTAGCTATTTCAACAGTAAAGTTATGACTTCTAGTTGTAAGGCTACATTCATGTGATTGAGGTAACAAGGAGGAAAACTCAGAACAATTGCTATGAAAATATTTATAGAAAAGGAAGAAGGAAGCCATGTCATGGTAGTAAGAAACTGACAGAAGATTTATTAAAGTTTAGTGTTTTTCAGCATATCTTGTAATGAACCACCATATGTGAAATGGCTGGTGATTCCCTTCCACCAGTCAACCATAACTTTCATTTCCTTTTATAAACAGGTTGTCAGTATCATCAAGTATTTATGAAGTAATCTGGTTTTTCCCTGTACAACAACAGATACTCTAAAACATTCATAAAAACTGATTCATGCAAATTAAAAATGCAAAGCAATAGTTTTTCTTTAAAGGAAATATCATAGATTTCATTAAAAATGATAAACATCTAAACAATAACAAGTAAAACCAGTTTGAAATGGTGAAGTCATAAAAGAATCACTATCAAGATCATGTGACCAGAATATATCAAGACAAATTTGGACAAAAAGTAATAACCTTGACTTATTTCACACCTATATCTTATTCAGATATATGCATTTAAATTTTATCCTTATGTTCATTTTGAAAAGCTAGCTGGTAGCTGAAACAGATGTGTATTTCTTTTTAGGCTTTTGTTATGGGCGTGTTCTTTAGTGCATATACATTTTGTATTATTAATGATTCAAGAAAACAACAAAACTCCAAATGTGAATCAATAAGTATATATTGAAATAACATACAAGAACAAAATATACAATAATTTGTATTCAATGTATAGATTAAGGGAAAAGAAGTTGCTTCCCTTTTACTGTATTTTGATTTGTAATTGATTGTTCGAAAGAAAGTTCTCTTGAGAGAGAAAAGTTCAGGAACCAACATTAGAACAAGTCTGCTGTTAGAATAGATAACACAAGAATACAATTGATCAGAAAGTGTGTTGTGTTAGAGAAACCAACAGAGTCCTGGTTGATTGAACTTGGCTGAGTCACAAGAGATATGTATATATGTATTACAAAGTTCTGTGTCTGTGTGTGCATTTGAAATGTTGTGAGTAAAGGCATTGGTTTGTGTTCACAGATGAAATTTGCTGGACTCTACTGGCGGCTTGTGAAAAAGTTGCCTCTTTTAAAGCTACAGATAAGCTCCCAGCGAAACCGCGGGAAAAGTTGATTTTGCACTAAAATATGTGATTGGTTAAAAATTGACCAATCGCTAAATTTGTACTAACGAAACAAGTAAGCAAGTTCAAAACCGAAAAATTCAAAGCAATGACTGTGATGGCTAAATTGTCCTATAGAAAGGCAGTATTGATTTATTAGCCAATCGCAGACAAATAAAATGTGGGTGTGGAAAAATATAGCAGTCGCTACACTTTCATCCTTTAAAATTATGGATTCTAGCAGGAGTTTTTTTTTTTTTATAATGTCAGTTCTCCCAGTCACCACTCACAGTAAAGGGTTACTGAGTAAGATTGTTCTAAGAGAAAGGAAAAGAGAGAGCCAGAAGTGCACATTATGAGAATGTGTAAGATAGATATCAGCTGAAACTGGACTTGAAGAAACCAAGATTCTGGTGGTTAAGTAAGCATCCTCTGAGAAAGAACAAACTAAAAGTTCTGGGGAAGAAGCTATCTGAGTAGAAATAACTCTTTATCAAAGGTACATTAAGGGAATGGGCATGATTTGCTACCATGAACATGACAAGTCTTAGCTGTTAAAGACTGAGCTGTTGGGACTAAGGAATGTAATTAGAGATTGGCTAATAAATCAATACTGCCTTTCTATAGGACAATTTAGCCATCACAGTCATTGCTTTGAATTTTTCGGTTTTGAACTTGCTTACTTGTTTCGTCAGTACAAATTTAGCGATTGGTCAATTTTTAACCAATCACATATTTTAGTGCAAACATTTGCCATAGTAATAGCAGTAGATTAGTAAGAAGCTAGTAAAATTTCATCTGTGAGATAAGGGTGGCAAGGATGGAGAATAATTAATCACCCACAAAGCCGCATAAGTGACTTTGAACTTTGTCAATGTTGGACAGTGAGGACTGGACAGCAGCAGTCCAGATATTGCAGCAATAATTCATTCTAGGTCTGATCTGGCTCTTGTAAAGATAGAGCATAGCAGATGGAGATAGGCATTTTTTGAAGCAATTCAAGGAATCAACCATTCTTCTAGTATCTTTTATGATGGCATGAATATTTGAGTTCTATATGAGGTAGAGAGTGAGCTTCAGATCCAGTAGGCACTCAATACAAGGAGCCTCTTTGAGAATATGACCACTCATAAAGACTGGTGCAGATTCAGGGTCTGCTTGGTTGTGATGAAATGTTACGAGATCAGTTTTGGAGGTATTGAATGATACCAGCCAGTCTTTCTACCATTGAGCTGTGAGAGATAGGTCAGAGGAGAGATCTACTGACAGACACTGGTTATCCACATATTTGGAGGTAGTGTCAACTGCATCTATATTTACTAAGGATCTAAGAATGTTTTAAGGCAGATTGTTAATATAAAACAGAAAGAGGATATGGCCAAGGAGGAAACCTTGAGAGTGTAATATTATAAAAAAAAAATGTCCCAAATTTTTGTCTGGTCTAATCTTGCATTTTTTTAAAACTTTGATAAAAATTTATCCCATTTTAACTTTTTTTACTGTATTTATAAATACTCATTAGTTCTACATAAAACAAAGCAGGAGATTCTAACCTGTTGTTTGGATAGTTAAAAGCTATTATAGTGACTCTATACCAAACATGAATAAAATTTATGTAGTATAAATAATCAACACTTTATATAAGGTTAAGCATTTCACTGCCCAAAACTTAGCATCCCAAAATGCTAAAACTTTACTGAACACACCTCGTGCCATTGAAAGAAGTTACCACTGCTACCATTTGCACATCAGAAAATATATAAGAGGACACTGAGGTCGACACCAAGTGGTGACTGTCTGAGAATTGAGAACAAGAGTTAAGCGGCATGTTTGCGGAAAGGATACAGAGAAGGATGGGGAACAAGCTCAGGGTGTCAGTGGTCGATTGACATTACACTTGAATATTTAAAGATTATAGTCATTGGGGAAGCAAGTAAGGGGAAGGGAGTTCCACAGACGAAAAGTGCAGGAGAAGAAGCTGTTTGAGAAGAAGAGACAGTTACATTTAACTGTTTTAACAGTGAAAGGGTGGGACCGAAATGTTAGCCAGGTAGCTCGTTTAAATTCATGTAGTCTGGGAACCAGCGAAAATAGCTTGTCAGAACAGTTGCCATGAAAATATTTGTAGAAGATTACAAGAGGAGGTTGAATTTGCATTTTATGAACATTGCTTTCATTTTGTTTTTATTAAAAGGATTACATTTTCCATGCAACAAATGCTTATGTTCCTATTGAATATGTGAAAGTGTTAAAAATAGAAAAAAAAAAAAAAGTAGAAAAAAAAAAAGTAGAAAAAAAAGAAAAAAAAAAAAAAAAAAAAAAAAAAAAAAAAAAAAAAAAAAAAAAAAAAAAAAAAAGTAGAAAAAAAAAAGTAAAAAAAAAAAAAAAAAAAAAAAAAAAAAAAAAAAAAAAAAAAAAAAAAGTAGAAAAAAAAAAAGTGAAAAAAAAAAAGAAAAAAAAAAAAAGTAGAAAAAAAAGTAGAAAAAAAAATAAAAAAAAAGAAAAAAAAATAGAAAAAAAAAAATAGAAAAAAAAAAGTAGAAAAAAAAAGTAGAAAAAAAAAGAGAAAAAAAAAAAAGAAAAAAAACTTCTTTCATGCTCATATCTTTATCTTTGTTGTATGATGAGGGGAAAGATGAAGAAAAGGATTTTTCCTTTTTCTGTTGGTCTTTTTTCCTGATGGTACTATTCTTGAAATCCAGATTAACAGCAAATCCTTTTCTTTAATACGGTTTCATATTTTGACTTCTGATGGTCAAAAACATCTAGATTACTACAACTTGCTGACAGTCTATCATACATTGACTTGGGGAGTTGTTTGAAAATGGCCAATGAGTTGTTTCCTGATGTGTTGATATAAATAGGAGTACTATTTTTCTTAATGTATGAGTGATGTACATCTTCTTTCATGTGCCATGTACCTTCAGGACATGGGCGATCATAGCTCTCAGAAATGGCAGTTCTTTAAAGCTTTTAATAATCTCCTATCTGACATTATCCATACTTTTGCCACTGCAATCCCCAAGAATCATTAGGCCATCATCATGATATAAACCTGTATCTCCTTTCAATTATTTCTGCTAATTTCAATAGCATGTAGGAACCAAACAAACACTCCATCAAAATTACCCATGATGACATCAAAATTGCCATTGTCAACTTTTTTGATCCATAGATATTTGTTGTGATATAACACTGACTTTTAGTGGTGCTTGATGATTTCTATCTGATCATTTATGTTTGTATAATTTAGCCATATCTATGACTTTATTAAATATTTCTTACTGAATGATAAAAATCCTTAATACCAGCAGTATATATATACTTTTTTTTGTCTCTGGTATGATTAAACCAGTCTATGATTGCATCTGAAGTATTTTACCACAGGCCGTATAAGGAGTTAGGTTGGTTTACATAAATGTCAATATTGCTGAACCTATTCCAGCAGCAAAAGTCAATCATTTATTTCCTTTACTTCAGAACTCATCTCTGATAAGATCTAAAACTGATTTTCTCTAATCTATTCAGTGTAACCCGGATATAAGAGAGATTTTCTCTGGTCCCAAATTAGAGCCTGTGTTAATGTATATAAAATAGACCAAACCCGGATATAAGAGAAACCTGGATATAAGAGACTTCTTCTCCGGTCCCGACAACTCTCTTATATCCAGGTTACACTGTAGTTTGAAAAAGTAATTAATAGATAAATAAAGGGAACATACATTATTTTTCAAGTCATCATATTTCTGCCTCCATTCCTGTGTCTTTACCAACCACTGGGATTTGTCTTCATGTAATACTTCAAGGTAAAGCTAAAATGACACACAAAAAGAAATGTTTTCAAAAGCAATGAAAAGATGAAAAATAATCAGAATTAAGTGATAGAAAAAAAAAATGGATTATGAAATGAATCATACTGCAATCCAATGTGTAGGCATATCAGAAAGATGTCTGGAAGAAAATTGCTATTGATAGATTTATTGTCAAGATGACCAAGGCAAAAATAAATGACAAGCTAAGTTTAAAGGACAGACATGACAAAAAAAAAAAAAAAAAAAAAAAAAAAAAAAAAAAACAAAAAAACAAGAAAGTCTCTCATATTTTCCCATCGAAATTATTACAATAAAGAACTTATACTAACAGGCCAATTAATTTCAAGTAGATTCATTGTATTTTTCTTTTAAATATTAAAGTCTTTTATGATTATATAAGAACAGCTATGATGTGCAGTATGTTAGAAACTGAGAAAGTATTGTTGAAAAGAGAAAAATAAAATGACATGATTCAAGGAGACAGATGAGGATTACATTTAAATGCAATGTCAATTGTCATCTTCAGCCTCCTTGAATCTAGATTCTTTTATCATTCTCCCTCCATTTTCTCAGTTCCTTTCACTCTTGGTGAATCCTTTCATCTTAGTAGCTTTATCACCTTGCTAGGGAGGCACGGTGGAGTAACAGAGAGCAGCTCAGATTGAGGAATCGGAGAGCAGAGTTCAAATTCCAGTCAAATCCATTACATTCACTTATGTGCTAATACTCTTGGGAAAGGTATGAATCCTCTTCTTCTCCCCACCCCAGCTATGGGTAAATAGCAGAACAGGCTGGGTTCTATAGCCTTGGATGGCAAATGGTCTACTGTAGAAAGAAATGGCAACCTATTGTGGGGAAAAAATCTGCCTTATCAGTCATGTATTGAAAGATACATGATCGCTTAAGCATGTATCACATATGGCACATAACTGACTAAAGTTGAAATGTTAAAAAAGAAAAGAACAATAGAACAAGCAATATTTTCTTTGATAAATATTTCTTAATATTACAGGCTTGTGTGTGTCTTCTATCATCAGTCTAAAATGATAAAATTTACTGACCTAATATTTGGCACAAAGATTCACAAGATATCTTGTTAGTGTATAAAGTGTGTGAGGTTGTCACTAGGATTTAACAAATGCCATTTCTGGTCAAATGTAGACATTTCTAACAAAACAGACCAAGATATTGAGTTTGCTATCTGATGCAAAAAGGTTTTTTTTTAAAACCTCACAAATAGAGCTGATACGGTCATTGAAAGTAGAAATAGTTTGTGGCTTTCATGTGGAAATATTCAGCATTTACTGACTGAGCAGGATTGCTACTGTTGGTTTAAATTCATAAAATCTTTCTACTAAAACAATTTTTCAGGTAAAGAGGTTTTTCAAGTCCACTAACTGTTACCGCTCTTTCCAGTATAAATGGAGAGGGTCCTTGGCAGACAAAAAGAAGAATGTATTCATTCCAAGGATTCCCATCATTCCAAAAGACTCACCCTTTCAATTCTAGTGACTTTAATTCTTAGTGAGGATCAGCTTTGACATGACCATGAACAAGGTACAAAGACAGCCTCTTAAGATCTCTGGCCTCAACTTGACTCCTCCATGCATTACTCATGATCAGCTTTAGATTGGTTGTTGTAAGGTTAGATTCTCCAAAACTTTTCATACAGGCACCCAATGAGAGAAGCACTAATGTGTATCTAGAAGAGACTAGAAGGGTTTTTGTCAAAATAAGGAAGTACAGGTTTTTTTAAATATCAGAATACTTTTCAGCACTAGTTACTTCTTTATATGTAATTGTATAGTGATTGTTTTTGGCACTTGTAGATGGAACTATTTGAGACTCATTGATGGTTGTGCTAGCATGAAATCACAAGTCATCATGACTGAGGGTTTGAGTATGCTGGCCTTGTTCAGGCTGTTGATCAATCACACCAGATAATGCAACTAGTCAGAAACTGTAACTAAGGTCCAATCAACATAGTTGTAGTATAAACCACAGGTAGACTGTTTATGTTGAAAAAAATACAAATGTGCCTGAGCAGGCATCTACAACAGGGATTGGCTAGCCACCCTAGTAGACAGGCATCCTCAGATATGAGCAGCCAGCCATAATAAGATATACATTAAAGAATGTTTTTCCTTTGAAGTTATTTTTCCTCAGGTAATACTGGGTATCCTTGCTAATGCATTTATAAACTTACTAAAGCTCATGGTGAAATTCCAATAGCAATATTTTTGTTTTAAAACTTAGTAGCTTATTTACAACAAAATTATACACTGTATATATAAAGCCTTAACAACTGCAGATTTCATTAATCCTCGTCATGGTTGCCAATGGGTTAACAGGTTTTTGCTGTTAATTCCTAGAAAGCTAAGTAGTTATGGGAAAGTGTTTTGTCCAAGTGATCTGTTTTACTCTTTATCAACCATTATAACAAGACAGTAAAGAGATATTTTGTTAAGATATTTATCAATAGAAGAAAATAAAATGTAGCCCGATGTTATTGTTGGGTTAACTTTCCTTCCTCTTTCTCAGTTAATATGCACATGATTAGTCATATCATCTAATGGCAAGTCAGAAAAACCAACTCTGGACAGAAGAGTTGTATTTCCTGATATGTGGGTAAAATACAGTTTCTTGCAACATGTGCTGGACTTGTGACTAAAGGCTGCTTTTGTAATATCCTCTAGCTTTCCTTTTCAGGCTCAGAGAGAAGGTATGTAACACATTTCTACACTTTGTTAGCATATTCTCCTTCTAGAAAATAAAACCATTTACATTTTCATGACTTCTCTCAAGCTGTCTTATTTTTTTTTATTTTTAAATGTGTGGGTAAATATCTGCTTTTGACAGCCAGAGACTACTGAGTCTGTCCACACATATTTAACAAATCCAACTGTATTAATGTAAACATGAACAACCACAGCTGAAATTGGAACTAAATTTTCGTGCTTCTGTTACATATCCTACATACAAACCTATTACACAAATATGTACTTATATACATGAAAACAATACATCATCTAGTAACTTATGGTCCAGTAGCTCTTTAAACTGATTTTTAAGCAAATTTATTACTATTCTTAATTCAGACTTACTATTTAAATTTTTAAGAGTTCTAATACCTTTCATAGTTTTAAATTTTTAAGAACTTTAAAGATATCAATGAATTATCATGTGACTTCTGTTGGTCTATCAAAATGGATAATCCATCAGGATTCTTGTGTCAATAGTACCAGAAGAATCACTAGTGTGTGTGTATGAAAAAGAGAAGTTTGATTAAAAATGAAATAAAGATTATTTTTGTTAACTTTTCTTGTTTAATTACAAAAGAGTAAATTTTTACATCTGATGAGTGTAGATATTGACTGAATGTTTGCAATCAATTGCTTTCAACCATACTTCTGATCATTTTGAAAATCCACCATTATGCATATCATCTCTCATATAAACAAACATTTAAAACTATGTATTGGCCATCATTGTGACTTCAGGTGACCATCAAGTGAAATTATTTATTGACAAAATGTATCATCAGCTGCTGAACATGCTTAAAACTGCAGTTCCAATATTGAAGATTTTTAGTTGCTTGCCTATTAATTTAATCAAAACTGTACAAATGAAAAACTGCTGCACACTATATATATATATATATATATATATATATATATAAACACACACAAAAATTCTTGGGCCCATCCACAGCATAGTTTTCAGGCCCTTTCCAAAGGTACTGAGATCATCTCCCCATGCTAATAGCATCAAAAATCACCTTGACAGATTGAACATATTCAGAAAGTGAATGTTCTATCTACTTTGCCATGTGCCTGTATATAAATTTTTAGTTGCTTACCTTTTCAGACCTGTACCAATGAAAAACTGCTATACACACACACATATATATATATATATATATATATATATATATATATATATATATATATATATACATACATACAGGATGCGATGGATAAATTGTCATCTAAATTATGCAAAAATTAAAATAATGCCGACATCACATTTTAACATATATCTACCAAAATTATTAAAAAATATCTTGAAATACTGAAGAGTAAATTTATTTAATAAAATCCCTATTGGCATAATGGTGCTGTTTTTCTCACAGACCGCGCCCAACTAACCCTACTATACTGTGCAGATGACAATCAAAAACAAACAATGCACAAACTTAAAAATATAAAATGGCAACAATTTACCCATTACACCCTCTATCTATCTATCTATCTATATATATATATATATATATATGTGTGTGTGTGTGGCAGTCTCTTATAATATGTGAAAGATGTCCCATGCTTTCATCATTAATGGATAGCCATGCATATGACTTGTGAAGTCAAACACACAGATATGGTTGCAAGTGGGACATGATATAGCAGTTGTTAAGGCTGGAATGGATAATTTCCTGTCTTGGGGCTTGCATATGCTAATCAACATGAATGATATTTGTTACCATAAAGTGCAGTTTGTGCCACTTGAACTGTGCAGTATCTGCGTGCTTGAGTTTGGCTTACCTCAGATAAGTTCTAATTACAATCATGAGTCTTTTAATCTATTAGTGTTATAAGGTTACTGCATACATTATAGCAGTCTAGGACAAGATAGCCAGACAGAAAACATCCCTCTTTAGGCTTATTCTGAATTCAGAGTTCTATTCCTGGATAAAGTGCCCTACCAAGGCTGTAGATTGATTGACTGTTATTTTGCAGGTTAAGAAAATATTTTTTAGATTGTAAGAATTTTAGGATATAATAATGATTTACTGATACAAGTCCTACTAATTAAACCAAAGCTGAGGAGAAAGACGACATGGATTAACACCTTTCAAAGGGTATTTGCATGCAAGTGAAATTAATGAACCTGACTGGAATTAGAACTTGGTTATTAGATTTTCAATTTGGAGCCATTATCCATTGCACTCTCTGCACATCCAAGTTTACAGCACCTGGTATTCCCAAGGCTATAGAGTTCAGTCTGCTTCATTATTTATAAGTGTTATGTATACAGAGTTTTTCCTTGGCTGCTACCCAAACCAAAAGAGGTCAGTCTGCCTTGCTATTTGACTATAGCTGGAGGAAGATAGAGTTTTTTTTTTTCAAATGCAGTATTTCTAAGTGAAAAATATTTTGTACACAAAGTACGGCCAGAACTTGAATTCAGCATGTCAATTCCAATTTTAGTTATGATAACTTTGATACTGTTCACACATTCATAAGTGTGTGTGTGTGATTTTAATATAGTGCAAAATACTTTACTAAATAAAAAAAATAAAATAAAAAATTCAATTTCTGGTAATATCCACTCTTAAAATGAAAAAAAATTAAATCTAAAATCCTAATAAAATGAAAGTAAATAAACATAGTCAGTATGATGCTTTGAGTTTTACTTCAAACCTTTGAAAAATTTCACAGGTCAAGAATGTCTCACCTTCCAACAGATACTTCGAAATCGACTGCTTCTCAAGTTGCCACGTAAGCCATGATCTCTTAAGGCCTTCAGAAAATTGGGTTTGCCAAACAAGCGTTCCCACTCAGTGCTGCAAATAAAAATATTTTTTTTTAATACAACAGATCCTGAAATGGCAGATTGTCTCTGATGTTAGTAGCATTTTGCAGTTGTTCTGGACAATCTCTTCAGAGATAAAGAAGAGACTTGAAGAAAGAAATGTGATTCTACAGAAGGATGCTGAAAATACTATGGATTGAATATGTAAGCAACAACAAAGTTTTAGAGAATAGAAACAAAATGTACAATTGTACTTAACATCAGGAAGAGACAGTTGAAATTTCTAGGCACAAATGTGAAAAGTGGGCTTGGAAAATTTGATACTCACAGTACACATTGAAAGCGAGAGAGACAGAAAAACAATGTATAACCCACCTAGTGTGTGTGTAAATGGATGGCAGTACAAGGTTTAGGAATAATAACAAAAAGACAAATTTAGTAAGAGCTCCAAAGGAGAAGAAATTGTGGAGAGATATGATCAGCAACATTTTGAAAGGACAAGGCACATAGAACTTCCAGTGTGAGATATTTACATTTTGAAAAAAAATAAAAAGGTACCATGCTTATAATGATATGGTAATTGCAGCAAGGTTAAGCATATTATGCAGGCCTTTTACTAGGATAATGAGTTTAATCCTTACTGGTTCCTGTGTCAGAAAAAAAAACAACTAAATGCTACTTATATCATTTTCTGCAATACAGTGTTTAACAAACTATTCTCATAGAGTAGTGTTAGTATAGGAGTTCATTACAGGTTCCTGTGCAAGACTAGAGTAAGATTAGTAAATACTAATCTTACAATCTCCCAATTAATTGCTAGTGGAGTGAATTTGATCTTCACTAAGTACTCCTTGTACCAGACTAAGCTAAGCTTACTAAATACCTATTTAAGTGTCAGCCATTGAATAATAATTAAAAAGTTAGCTTTGCAGAAAATTCCTAGTGATTTTGACTACTCATATTTGTAGAAATCATTATCAGTAAAAAAAAAAAAAATCTTGTCCACTTCCCATGGCTGCCACAGCTACACTATTCCTTTACCTGATGTCACAAATAGAAGTAGGCAGGATAACATGTGACATTAGGTAAAAAAAATAGTGTAGCAGCCATAGGATGTGGACAGAATTTAACTATGTTTGACCTATTTTTTTCTTGGATAACAGTAAGAAAAATATACCAGGGACATGTAGATTTGGGCTAGATATCAGTGACATTTAAAAACTGTGGGCACCCACAAGTGATATAAGAACAGGATTAATGTCCACTGACAAGGATGTTATACCACCTAGCAAAGAGGAACATCAAACCAAATCAAATTCCAGTACAATGCTGGTGCTGCTCAGCTTATCAGTCAATGCACTGTACAGAATACACTACATTCCATAGAGGTTTCATAGTCATTGACCAACAAGATTAGTATTGACTCCATTGTATAAATTACTGCACTTCACCTGAACCAAAGAACATCAAGCACAATGAAAAACTGTCAAACATTGGACCATTTTATCTTGTCAGACAACTCATATTTCCAGCTTTCTTAAGCAGAGGATCACGTTCAGATATGACAGTGACTACATGCTATGAATCCAGCCTGTCATCAGGTTGTGGCACAAGCTGGTAATGACTGGAATGGTGTACTGTGTGTTCTGTTAAAGTTACTGCACCTTACCTATTCTAGACAATGTCTCCTGGTCAGGTTAATCAGGTCTCCAGATGTTTCATGCAGACTGTCAAGTTCATGTATAGAGGTGATCCCTTGAAGTTATGGTTCTAGACTGTCAGCAGAGAGTTGTGAAGTCTGGTAGTAGTCATGTAATAGTTTGAGGTGGGTTCTGTTGGTGGTCATATGGATAACATGTGTAACTGGAGTCTATTTTTACAGGTAAGTCATGCACAGATCTTGTCATAGACCAATTACATTCCTTTATGTTCACCTTATTTTCCAGCAGGTTAACACACTTGCCATGTGCAGGTGACACTAGCTCAAAGATGACCTTCAGGCATTGCATCAGTACACTATCCTTGTGTTCACCAAAATTAAACATCAGTGAGCATGTATGAAATATGTTGTACACCTGACTAATTTCCCTGCAGCCACAACTAAGAAATAACTCAGTTATGGACAACCCTGGAACATGCCTGAGTAGAGATACCCAGGCAACAACTCCAGTACTTTGGAGATTCCATTCCAAATCACAGACATCATTACTTAAATAAAATGAGGACCTATACATTATTTTCATTTCTTGGTAGTTCAGTTTAATATCAACTACAAAGCAGGTCTCTAGAAACTTAAATTCACTTTTTACAGTGAAGATTTTTAGATTTTAGACGAGAATCTCATTACATTTTATATCTTGGCTCTTTGGATATTTCTAAATTGCATCAATTCAGAACAGTTTTCATGTGTGATTTAAATTTGCTTTCCATGGACTCTTGCTATGCTACTTTGATATATCATGTATTTGTTGTTAAATGTAAGACCTAAATGGGGAAAATATAAAAATTCCGGTTTTAAAAAAAATTAAAATTACTTTATCTCAAAACAATTCAAATAATTTAGTCATCTAACTGAATAGGCAAGAAAATGGTATGAAATAGTGATTTGCATTCAGGAATTCTACTTATGAAAAGCTTCAAAAGTCAAAGAGTAATGAGGGATAATATTCACTATTGTTTCTTGACCTTTTATCAGTGGGAACCTCTTTTTAGTAATGTTTACCAAGATTATTTTTTTTCAATCTAAGTTTAAGTAAAAAGATAAAATTTAGATGAAATCTGATACATCAGTGGTTGAGAGGCTGAGTTTCATAGGTGAAAAGTGATTTTTGTATTTTGTTTTTGAACTTAGTAAGAATCAACAGATCACAACTCGGAAGTTGTGAAAGGGAAGAGAAATTGGATTGTAGTTGTACTGATTTCTGGAGGATGATATTTGAAGATTTTCAAACAGAATTCTGACTCAATTGTTATCACATATTTCTAACAGTAAGAGAAGGCAACATAATTTATAAAGAGGAAACATTTAGGCTTAAAGTGGTTGCTTTGTCACTTAGAATAAACTTTGATGTTGTCAAAAATAATTCAAATTCTGTTTCCTGATATATATAAAAAATTAAACCCCCCAAAAATAAAAATAAAAAAAAAGTAAAATATGTGACCATGCAATTTTTGTTTTAACAAAAATTTCTTCTTTCTAGGTTCTGTTCCCCTTCTGGATATTGCTGATCATGACTCTCCACAATTTCCTGTCCTTCATAGCTCTTAATAAATTTTGTCTTTTTGTTATTTCTCTTAACTTTGTTCTGCCATCCATTTACTCAAACTTATTAAGTAGATTATGCATCATTTTTCTGTCCATATTGCCTTCAATCTGCCCTGTGAGTATCAGATTTTCCAAACCCTCTTTCCTCATTATGTGTCTGAGAAATTTCAACTGTCTCTTCTTGAGGTTAAGTATAAGTTTTCTTTTTGTTTTCCTTTGCTTTAAAACTTTGTTGCTCACATGTTTGATCCACAGTATCCTCAGCATCCTTCTGTAGAATCACCAATTGCTTCAATTCTCTTCTTCCTCTTTGTAGAGATTGTCCAGCATTCACTGCTATATGCTGATATCACATAACAGTTCAATACTCTTTTCTTTGTTTTTAATGAAAATTTTCTGTTTCGTAATACTCTTGTGGAATCTTCCACATTAGCTCCCCCCGCCTTTCAGATAGATGTATTCTTCCCTAAAAAAAGCCTTAACCAATCACCACTTCATTTCAGTAAATTCAATCTTCTATTGGTTAAGAAACACTAAACTGTAGCAAAGTCGAAACAGATCCTTTTTCCTGTCGAAGCTCCCTGGAGCCAATTTTTAGACACCAAAGTCTATATAAACAACCGCATGACTCAATTCAAGTCAGTCAGTCATTGAGTTTCATGAGATGCTACCAAACTCCATGTGTGTCAATTCACTGACTCAACATCACTTCAAAATTCTCAACAAATTCAACACAGCACTCAATCGACCATTGTCCGTGTGATAATCAAATTACAATTGACTTAAAAAGTGAACGTTTTCACTACACAAACAGTAATTGTACAATTCAGCAATTTAGCCAAACAGTTAAAGGCAAACAACTCTTCACAACTTAAATTCTAACTAACAAGTAACACACGCATACACACTAATATTTGAACAAATACATTTGAGATTTTTCCTTGCAGAAACCAAATTATTTTAATTTCACTAAATCAAAACCATTAACTTTTATTGACCAAATTTCTGCATGAACATTCTTCATAACCTTGTCTCAATTGCCACAATCAACAAACATTTTGTTATCCTTGCATGTATATCTATTGTATATATAAAAATCTCTTTATTGTTGGATCTGTGTTTTTAGTAATTTCCTGCAATACAAATTGTCCTTATATTCTTTATTTGATCTACATGTTGTAGGATAATGCATAATATGCATGCATAATCTTTGCCTTACATAAATTACCTTCTGATGCATTTTCACTCAGCTACAACCCGCAACACTGCTTCACTTTTGGAATGCATCACTGTTTTTATAAAATTACAATCAAATTTGACAGTAAATTTTACTGCAATCCAAATG